TGTCTCCCCACCACCCCCATGAATGGGAGCAGTAAGGCAGCAAGAGATCATGAGAAGGATGGGCATTCTATATTGCCAGAAATGGGAAGAGGTAGGAAGAAACTCTAGGTGACCTTGCATTCTGATTCCCTTAAGATGTAGAAACCTATTTCTTTGAGTTGGAGTCTCCTCAGAGAAAGAAACATGGTAGCCAACCACAGGAGCAGACAACGGAGAGTGGTCTTGGTGTTTCTGTGATTGCGTGATGTTACTGGGGAGCAGCCAGCCACCCCTGGGGTAGCAGTTTGAGCAGGAGCAAAGAGCATCCTCCTCTCTCTTTGAAGTCTAGATGAAAAAATGCCAGAGCTCTGGGATTCGGACAGAGAAAATTAATTTGGGAGCAAAAAACAAACAAACAAAGAAGGCTTTCTGCTCTTCCTTTCCTCCCCCTGCCAGTTTTAGGTGTCTCCTTAGAGAAGTCCTAGAAGAAAACGCAGCATTGACTATGAAAAGAGAGAGAACCTGGAAAGGTCTGTGTGTGGGTCTCACATTTTGAGAATGGGCTTTCAGACAGAAACAAATGGGTCTTTACACACCTTCCCGGGATCCCTGATTTCTTCTCGATAACTTCATCTTCCACATCACAGCCGAGAGTGCCCCTGACTTCCTGCCCCCAGCCCCAGGGCTTTCACCCAGCCACCTTGGGAAGGTCAGGAAAATTGGAGTTGCCCTCTGGAGCTAGGGACATGAGACTCAGAACTTAGACCGATCTCTTTTCATTAAGCAGTGCCCTGGCTTAACAAGCAGTTTTATAAATCTGAAGCTGTCTCCGGGTGTCACAGGATTTATAGACGGGGGTTTCTGCCATAAAGTGGTTTATGATGGCTGCCTTCTGTGTTATTAGTAGCTGTCTCTTCCTTCAACCATTGCTGTTTGATAATAGCCTTAAAACACCCAGAATTACTTACCTGCAAGCCCCATTCCCGATAGCCCCTGTTGACAGTCTGAATAAGTTTACTGCCCTTTTGTTGTACTTTACCTTCAAAACAAACTGATTGAACCATCAATAGCTCGTGGAAGCTGACAGAGGCATGTCATCCGGACTAGCCCTTGTGATTGCAGGTTATCTGGGGGAGTTAACCTTCCCGCATTGTTAACTGAAATGTTTTATGTACTATGCAACTTTAGGATACGGCTGTGATAACCCCAGTAACTAAGTAATACATCACGGTAAAGAGATTTTGGTGCAACAAATAACCCTGGATTAAATTTACAAGGGTCGAGTTGATATTGTAAAAGCCTTCATTCTGTGGCTTCGGGAATCCTCGGTTGTATTTTTATGGCAAACTGGTATTATACTCAGGATTGAAGCTGCGGCTTTTGACACCCTGACATGACCTAGAACAAAGGAAAATAGATCTCCCAAGACCGGGGCGGGACAGGCGGGCAGAAAGCCCACTGACTTATCACTTGGCAGTAATGTTTGGAGCTAGTTCCAAACCACCAGGGGCAGGGAGATCTGGTGGCCGTGGCCGCCTTTGGGGCGTTGTGTACCACAGATGCTGGGGTAGGACAGACTGTGAGCAGAACTGGGAGGGAGAGTCTTCACCACATTGCCAACGTCATAATTCCAAAGCTATTATTCGTCATGATGTTATTTTCACTTGGACAGCGTTTTGCAGCAGGATCGCTGGCATCATCCACCCTGAGAACTTACTGGAAACAAACACTCCTGGACCTACTCTGGACATAGGGGACCAGAAACCCTGGGGGTGGGGGTCCTGTGATCTGTGTTTCAACAAGCCATCTGGGGGGATGCTGGTGCCCTCTTAAGTTTGAGAATGACTGTGCTGGGATACAAGCTCCTTGAGAGCAGCGACCTTTTCTGTTTCATGTCTCACCTTCTTCTCTGCACCTGGCACAGGTTGTGACAGGTGGTTGTCGCTCGCTAATTATTGGTTGTATGAGTGAATGTATGAAGCCGTCTCTAAGGGAGGAACTTTAGACCCAGAGCTGAGTCTCAGGCCAAATTATTTGGGGGCAAGCCTTCCTAGTGTCCCTCAAGCCACTCCAAGCACCCACCACGTAGAAACCCCAGGCTGGCCGTCAGGCTGGGAGTCAAGTCAGCCCTAGTTTCAGGGATGACTGGCAGCCTATTTCATGGGCTGTTTCTTCGATTGTATAAGATGAGTGCTCTGAAAACAGCAGCTCTTTGTCATCTAAAATTTTTAACTAGCTTAAAAGCCAGCACCTCTCTCTCTCTCCTTTGATTTCAGGGCTGTGATCCAAAGTGGGGCAAAATGACAACGTGCTGTCTGTTGTCATCATGGTTCCTGCCAGCCCCGTGAAGACATCTTTCATTCCATCATTAAACATTGGCTGATTTTCTAATACTGATGTTTTCTTCACCTGAATATTCATCTTTTCCCACCCTACACTTAGTGGGTGTCTTTACTCCTCTGAGCGTCACTCCTGACATATTGTTTCCATCTGTACATGTCTTTATTTGAAAGAATCTGTTGTCATCAAGACTTTCCTGCTATACGCAGAAGATGGAAGTTTTCTCTGACACTGACTGAGGCCAGTGGGAGTTCTACTGGAGAACAGAAGTTCATTTGAGGCTTTGTGGAAACTTTCTGATTTTGGATAAGGTGAGAGGGCATTTGGAAAGGGAAGGGAGAGGCTCAGGGAGAAGTTGGAAAGAAGATCATAGATGGAGACCAGGGAGGAAGCCAGAAGTGGATAGTCACATTTCCAGGACCTCAGATGATGGGGTGACCACTTCTGGGGAAGGAAAGTACACCTCAAAAGAACTCAGAGTATTTTCACTTTAAGGAGTATTTTGACTAGAAACCTCTATGCTGTTTTCTCTGGCATTTCAGTAATCAGCCAAATCTTTGGGCAAGTGTATGGAGGCCACCTGGTGATATGAGTTCATCTCATGAAGGTGGGAGCTGGCCTTGGGAACCCAAGGCTCCAGTGAAGAGGGGGGCATGTTATTTACTCCAGGTTACATTTGCACTGAGAAAAAGCTCAGTGCTTAGGATTGCTTTGGGGTTTGGTTCTTTGAAGATAACTTGAGATTTCTTGTTTCTCCTCTTTCTCCTCCAGCCACTAGTTTTTAGTCATGTAGTGAGTAATGTTAGGTCCCTTTCTCTGTGCTTCCCAGAATTTCTTTGTGCATAATCTCAATCTCAGCACATAGCTGTGTGGATTTCTAATTTCTCCATGTGAGTCTATCTTCCCCATTATACCAAGAATCCCTTTAAGACCAGAAATCACGTTATAATCACCTCTGTAAACCTAGGACCTGGCACATGGTAGGTGCTCAAGAAATACTCATACAACTGAAATAAACCAGTATTTTATTGAGTCCATTGTAATGTTAGTTTTTGAGATAATGAGAGGGTGAGAAAAAAATATCCCTACCTTTAAGAAGCTTATACATAAGGACATCAACTGAACACGAATAAGATGATTAAAAAACAACCAGGTGTTAGGTGGTATGGTGCTCACAGTGTATCCTGGGAGTACAGAGAAGGAAGAAAACAATGTGGTCTGGAGATGCAGAAGAAAGTTCATGTGGGTTGGGATTTGAAAGATGGGTGAATAGTGAAGAGGCTGAATATGGGAAGGATATGACAGATTCCTATGGAGATAATCTATTGGTCTTGACGTTGGATACCTACTGCTTCTTCCTAAGTAGGACAGTGTCTAAACAATAGTGATCAAGTATGGGGGCTCTATGGAAAGCATCTGGGTTGATAACTGTCCCTGAGGAAGAAGTATAGGCAGGTGTCTATACCTTTTATGTATTTATTTATATGTTTATCCACCTATCCCACAGACATGTGGATCTTCTCATTAATTCTAAATATACCTGCTTGAGGATAGTTCATCACGTAAGTAGCTGTTAGCTTATCCTTGGAGGCCATGATGGACACCAAAGACTCTTTCTGGAGGAATCTATATATATTAGTATTTGTTGGACTATTAAATCCGTATGCCCTCTAAACTGATTCTTCTTGTTTCACCTTGGTAAAAATAATCTTCATAGTGCCAGTGTGGAAGTAACTCAGGGATGATGAGAAAATCCTCAGGACCCCTGTTCAAGTCCTCAAGGAAGCATTTTTCAGTATGTGTGCTCCTTACTTCTATCCCAAAGTCATTATGTTATTACAACCTCCAGTTTATTATCCTGGATGGCCAGTCAGTGTCTCTTGTCTTAGTTTCAGACTGAAGATTTGTTTTGTTTTGTTTTAAGGATTTTATTTTCAAGTAATCTTTACACCCATTGTGGGGCTTGAACTTACAACCCCCAAATCAGGAGTCACATGCTCTACTGACTGAGCCAGCCAGGCATCCCAAAGATCTGCTTTTATCTCAGAGATGAGAATTATACAGATGACCCATAAAAATGGCAATGACAAAATGGTACAATTAGGCTTTAGGTTAGTTTCCCTGAGAACTTTCTGTGTAACAATGAAGCTGGGTCCATTTCTAGAATGGAAGGGCGGGGGTAAATAGGTTGACAGGAGCTTTCTGGCTCATGGTGTGTGTGTGTGTCTACATTTGAATTAAGAGCAATCATTAGTGCACATTGTTAAGAATTAGTTGTGTGGGGGCACCTGGGTGGCTCAGTGGGTTAAGCCTCTGCCTTCAGCTCGGGTCGTGGTCTCGGGGTCCTGGGATCGAGTCCCGCGTCGGGCTCTCTGCTCGGCGGGCAGCCTGCTTCCTCCTCTCTCTCTCTGCTTGCCTCTCTGCCTACTTGTGATCTCTCTCTGTCAAATAAATAAAATCTTTAAAAAAAAAAGAATTAGTTGTGTGTGTAAAATATAATTACTTGGATTTCTGCAAAGAGTGATTATTCATTCTTTGTGAAAGAAAAGAAAAGAAAAGCAGCACCAAGATCTGAACTTCTGAAGACCTAGTGATGTAGATCCCTGAGCATGAGACAAATTGCATGGGTCTTTGAGGCCACCACCTACCCTCCTGAGTTGTCTCTGACTGTCTTCTTTCAGATGCTTTGTTCTGCACAAGCTGCCCAATTTGAAGTTTCTGGATGCCCGGAAAGTAACCAGACAAGAACGAGAGGAAGCTTTGCTCAGAGGGTCATTCATGAAGGTGGTGAAGCCCAAGGTAAGCTGCTTACTTTCTGGTCTATGTCTTGCCTCACTGGTTATTCGTTGAGCACAGAGTATGTTCTTCTGTGTTTGGAACACAGCAGAGATCTCCAACCAGAGTTTTATCCATGCATACACTGTTGGCCTAGCAAGAAGTAGGACTGGGAATAAATTAGATCTTCCTGGGACGCATCTAAGGGGACCTTATTTGTAACTGATTTCACCCAGGTGGCTCTTTCACCCATTAAAGCAGCATCGTACACAGCCCAGTGGTCATGTTCTGGGGAGCAGATTTCTGGTCTCCTCCTTGAAAATGTTTTGTTTACAAGGTGGGGCCTCTGCAGGTCTGTTGCTGAGAAGGAAGAAAGCTTGGGGCATTTACTTTTCCTCAGGTGTGTAGGATTCCTCTAATGACCCAGAGGTAGCTCACCTTTCTTGGGGCCATAGTAGAGGCAGCAGAGAGTGATTTTCTTCTGTTCACAGGTATGAGGGCTCAGTAGGTCTCAGAGATATTGTTAGTGGGAAAGGCCATTTTTTTTCTGACAATGTGACCTGGGGCTAACATATTCTCCCTACAAGAGCCCTCCAGAGCTCCTGGGAATAGTCTTACTGACCTTTTCTTTATTGGCTGAGTCTGCATCGAGGCCATGGAAGTGAACATGGTATCATGTTAATGAGAGCATTGATGAGGTGGGGGAGATGTGGCTTTGAGTCTTGGATTCAGATTCCAGGGGATTTTTAAGGATGTGAAAAATGATCTCTTTGGGAGGAGTTGGGGTCCTTCCATAAAGCCCAAGGCCAAGAAATGGACCAGATGACCCTTGATGATCCCCTTCAAGGTCCATCCCTGGGCCCTGTGGTGCTACCCTGTCACTTCCTGTGGGACCCTAGCTTGTGTGTTGCAAACAGTGGCCCAGAAATCCTGGAGGTCTAGTTTGTCCTCACTTACTGACTTAGAGCACCTTGTACATGCATTGGAAATGATTAAGAGGGAAAGAGAAAAAACAAACAAACAAACAAAGAGAACCAAAGCAGAAAAAAACGGAGACCTCTTCCATCAAGTTGCTCAGCTGGCAGCAGACCTCAGGCCACTTTCTTTTTTTTTTTTTTTAAATTTTTTGAAGATTATTTATTTATTTATTTGATAGAGAGAGAGAGAGAGAGAGAGATCACAAGTAGGTAGAGAGAGAGGGGGAAGCAGTCTCCCCGCTGAGCAAAGAGCCTGATGTGGGACTCGATCCCAGGACCCTGAGATCATGACCTGAGCCGAAGGCAGAGGCTTAACCCACTGAGTCACCCAGGTGCCCCCTCAGGCCACTTTCTTTCCTTGAATCCATGAGATGCAACTTATTTCCCGTTATGCTGAATAAAATTGCTAACAGTTGTGGAAATATATGATATGGAGGGTATAATACTGGCAGATAAATGTATTGTTACCTGTTTCAGCATGTGGGAAATTAATTGAGTGATTCGTTTCATAGCTATTAAAGTGTTAATAGTTTTCCTTATCGAGGCCCTGATTTGATGTATTGCTCATGACTGCCTTTAGTTATTCCAGCTTTGGTAATTTTGTCCAAATGAAATAATTTATTTCTTGGCCTCCTCTTTTTTTTTTTTTTCTTTTCTTTTCGTTCTTTCTTTCTTTTTTTTTTTTTTTTGTTAAAAGATTCCAGAGGCAGCCGACATCACCAAACAAAGGACAACAAATGAGCTGTTTATAATATCTTGGGTTCCTGCCTGTTCAACATTTTCCACCTGCATGTATGCATACACTTTACAGGACAGATCAGTATTTCTCTTGCTCTCCCTGTGTCTGACGGGGGAAGAGCTGCGTTGTCCCAGGAACTCTGAGGGGGCACCCATACCCACCATGTGTGCTCATCGCTGCCCTAAGGCTCTCTGTATTCAGATCTGTGAGTCCTCACCCAACCCTAAATTGTAGGAGGAAGGAAGCACTGGATGACTCTGCAGGTGGGGTAACTGAGGCCTAGAGGTGTTAATTGGGCAGCCCTGGCTGGAAAGAGCCGGGCCTGGAGCTTGACCGGTGTGTCTGACCACAGAAGCCACTTCCTCCAACTCGGCTGTTTTCCGAGTGAGCCACACATTTTCCCAGTGCATTTCTCTGTTCCAAATAAAAACCTCCTAAGAAGGCCTAAAGGAAAACAAAACAACACAACAACAACAACAAACAAACAAACAAAAGAACAACAACAGGTTAAAGCTAAACTGCTCTCTTGGGGTCAAAATGGCAGCGGAGACTGAAATCCCGCTCAGCCTTTGAAAGCAAGTGGGAACGCCTCCTTAAAACCCACCGTAGCCGGCTCTCAGAGTCATGAGCAGCATCAGCAGAAATGCTTTTCAAAGCTCCAAATCCGTTTCTAATCAATTATAGAATTAGCTTATATTTGTGTGCTTGACGCCCATGTCTTTACTAATGGGGTTAAGCTTAAAAATACCCATTAATTCATTGAGGAGAGACGAAAATACTCTGACCAAAGCATGGGTATCTTCGGTGGTTATCTTTCCGGAGAGTCCCATGATTTCCTAACTGGAAAGGATTTTGGAAATCACCTGGTCTGTGCCGTCGTTTGATGGGGGGAGGGAACCAGGGGATGAGGATGTTGTTTCCGGAGGCCCCCACCGTCTGGTCCGGCGGACGCAGAGCTGGGATCAGAACCCAGGGGTCCGGGCTTCTGGTGAAGGGGCTATATCTAGGTCCTGATGGTTCAAGCGCATAGGACTTACCTCGCTGTGGCCCTGCTTTTCCTTCCCACTGTATGCTTCTCCCCAGTGCCAGGCAACTCCCCCCGCCTGTTTTCTGAGATACGCATTGGTACTTCTCTAGAAGTAGAATGAGGCCAAATGAGCTTCTTGCTGAATTAGTAAATGGGCTTTAAAAAGGCTGGTTCTCGCCTGCTCACAGTGTGTGCAGACGTCTGTTTGTTCCTGGGCAGGTGTATATATATGCTATCTCTGTGTGTGTATACATATGTATGTTCTGGGAGGTCTATGTGCACCTGAGTCGGCTTCTAAGTGGAGAGCAATTTCCTCCCCGTGAATTGCGATGCTGTGCTGAGCACACTTGGTGAGGACCTATTTTTCATCCCAGAATTGGAATCTCAAGTTGGCTCCTGTCCTTTCTCAGACAGTAGTGGCCTGTTGTGCTTATTCAGCGGAATGCTCTGATGGATGATCAGGGGGGCCGTGATTTGGGGAGCTGTTTTCATTTTATTCCTGACATAACGTATTTGGGAGAATGGAAAATGCCTCTCCAATCACAGCCCTTGCCTTGGGGGTAGGGAACAGGCAGTCTGGGTGTTCTGGGCTGACGCAAATGCAAAATCATCCAGGAACTAATAAACCCCCATGTCACAAAGGTTTGATTTCGTACCTGGCAGGCCTCGGCGCCCGAGTGCGAGTTCGCTCTAGCCTCTCCTCGTGATGACAACTTTCCCCTTCGTTGCTGCCTCTTGGCTTTTGTTTTTGGAAGCTGCTTTCTGTCTGAGCCCTGATTGTCCTTTAGGAAGATGCCATCGTTCATTAGGGAAGTGATAGGTAATCCTACAATGGACTCTTCTAGACTGCTGTGTTTGTCTTGTTAGTTAATGAATCTACGACAACTAGGCTTTGCTCGTTTCCTGGAATCTTAAAGAAATGCTGTAACTTTTGCAAATGTTGGCCATGAAATCATGCTGTTGTCCATGCCAAGAGCACGAAGCTGGATGCAGAGAAGGTGGGGAGGCCCCCAGAGAAAGACTTCTGTGATGACCAGACCATGATCCCTCTTGCCACATCAGGAAACATAAAGGGGTGCAAGGCCTGTCCAGGAGGGTATGCATGGAGGGCATGCCAGCCCTATGCCTCAGACAGCTCAAGAATCCGACAGTCAGAATTGCTTAATTATGTCCTGGCTTTGTAATTATTCATCCCTGTTCTGGCAAAGAGCACAGTTGTCATTTCTTTGACATAATTATTTAAAGCTGAGCCCTCTTGTTTAGAGGTATGTATATGAAGTTGGCTACCAACTGTGTAATCTTCAGAACCTTATAGAAGCAGTGGGGAGAGCAGCTACAGGGACAGCTGGACTGAGAATCACAGCCTGTGTTAGAAAGTGTTTTGACATGTGTACTTTTGCTTTTAATTGTGGCCATTCTGTTATAGGTAAGACAAGGTATTAGGCATGTTTGTGAGTGTCAGTGTGTCCTTGAAAATATGTGGTGCGTGCCTTTATGTGGGCATGCCAGTGTTTCCTATCATGTGTAGTTGGCGTATTTGTGTAGTTTTGTATATTTGTGTCTGTGTGAGTGTCTTTGAGGTATTTTTTTTCTCCTGGTGTGTGTGTGAGAGAGAGAGAAAAGGAGGGAAGGGGAGAGGAGGAAGAGGCAAGGAGGGAGAGAGGAAGATGTGATGTGTTAAAGGAATAAACTTCTGAGTGCATGTACCTTCTGGAAGTTTTTTTTATTCCTGACCTTAAACTGAAAGTTGGAAATCATTTGGAGTCTGAAGATCACCTCCTTCCATGGCAACACTACACAGTCCTATGCCTGACGTTGGCATCAGATCCCAACTCCCTGGTTTCCTTTAGTTTCCTTCATCTGTGCATATGTTTTTGGATTCACACACACACACACACACACACACACACACACGGCCACCTAGGACAAGATAGGGAATGGAAGCATCGGGAAGCCAGCTTTTTGTCAGGATGAAGCAGCTGCTCACGTACTGGGATGTCAGCTCCATGAGGGTAGGACCTGGCCTGTGTTTATTGTCCCCCATCCCCAGGGCCTGGTTTACAGCACAGGCTCAGCCAGTACTCGTCAAAAGAATGAACTGGGAACAATAGAACATTTTGGAAGATCCATCGTGAAAGGTGGTCCATTTTTTTTTTTTTAATTGCTTCAATATGGTCCTCTGGAAAAGCAGGAAAGGGACCTCTGCCTTAAGAAAAAAAAATGTAATAACTTGAATCTGTGCATTGGCAGAGAGGAGAGATTTGGGGTTGCCTATTTGTTT